TCTCGCCAAACCCGGCGTCGATGCCAGCAGAGACGGCATCTTGCAAGTCCTTCTTGGAGAGTTGATTGCGAGGTTTCGGTCCTGCTCTCTTCTTTGGCCGAGAGTCTGGCAGGTCGGGTAGCTCCGGAAGAAAGAGCGAGTCTGCCTCCGCATAATCAGGAGGTACACCATTCTGCCCAGGGATCTCTCTCACAACCAGCTTGCTCCTTGCGATGTCCCGGAGGCGCCTATGTTCCGCGACTTCTTCTATAGCGAATCGAATGTCATCCTCTGTAGTGTTTGTGCCTTCTGCTGTCTTTCTCTCATGCTCTTTCTTGCGAATGGCAAAGACTGCGGCGGCGGATTCATTCGCTGCTGAGGAATCTTCCTCCAGAGCGGGATTCCAATCCATCTCATCGGCCTTTTCGTCAGTCACCATGCCCAATGGCTTGGCAGCGCCTTCGGCTGACCCATCATTGACGGTATCACCATCATCGAAGCTGATCTTATTCTGGTTGTACTGCAGTAGAGCTTCGAAACCAGCCATTTCCGACCTTTCGGCTGGAGACGGGTAAGGTCCTGGTAGTCCCAAGAGGCTCATTTCGTCCGGACATTCCGTGGGGTCGTGCGGAATATCAGATTTGTTGCTGGTCAAATCTGACTTGATTGGTTTTGTCTCAAGGTTGAGCTCATCTGAGTTGGTATTGTTCATATTTTGGTTCAACTCGTTGTTGTGTTGAATAGATGTGGTGTCGATGGCAACAGTGTCTTTCTTTTCACCATCCGGTTCTTCCTTGCTGACTGGATGGGCCATTTGGATCTCGCATACCGCGACGTCATCCGAGTCGTCGGTGAGGTCAATAGTGTCTCTAACTGGAGAGACAGGGAGAGCGGCTGGGGTAGCCATGATGCTCCGAGTGGACTGCTGGAGGAACAGGTCAAGATAAACTTGCACGGAATGAATCCTCGTGCTGAAACACCGAAAGCCAGGAAGAAATCAAACACAACTAAACGAGTAGAGATGGCAGAAAGGGCCGAGCGAAGAAGGACGGACGAACTAGTTCAAATGAGAGACATGAACGAGTGAAGGAGCTTCAAATATGAAAGTTGCGAAAGAAGGTAGGAGACAAGAGATGGATCAAGGTGTTGAACTGACGACGAGGTCAAGGGGGAATACTTATAGCCTGGGTGACGAACCTGCCAAGATTTGAATTGATATCGTCACCCTCTGAGAGTGAAGCACCAGTAACAGAGCATGTGATTCCAAGAAGGAGCAGTCCAGCAATAGAAAAGTAAGCTGGAGATGATACTGGGACACGAGAGAGGTGTAGTGTTGGCCCCAGTTCATATATATGACAGCCTTGTGGACGGAAGGAGACATCAAGTTTGAGGCGGAAATGAAGAGCATTAGGGGGAGGAGAAGCAACGGGGACTCTTGGGGGGGAAGGGCACCATGATGACCAAGAAGTCATGCTTCTTGACCAGATGTCTACGCATTTGTCGACGACCGGTCCAGAACCTGAATGTAGCGAAAAGGCAAGGTGGTGGAAGTATCAGATATATCTAGAGCCAAGTTCTATGGCGCATTGGAAGGAAAACTATCAAGCTATTGCCAAGCCACCTCGCTACGCGCCCTGGATCATGTGACTGCTTGGTGCTGCATAGGCACGTGCCTCGAGCTACGATGAAGAAGGGGTTCGAACAGAGACTTCAATTCTCAACGATAGTAAAATGATGTTTAAGGATGTGTGGATGTGCATGTACACGGTACTCTGGTAAAGGAGGAAGAGAGAGGCGAAGGCAATGGCTTCTGTACGTACGGCTCATAATACTACATATAATTTGGGTGTGCCTGTGTGTTGACTTACCGAGTACATATGTGCAACTCGATATTTTGCCTGTAATATATAGACAGAACGCATCTTTTCCCCTCTTGTAGTTCCAAATATTTGTACATTGATGATTTGAACGCTCATGGGGTGCAGTCGTGTTACTCGTGCTTCGTCAGGAAAAGAAAAAAGGTCGTCCTTCGTCTGCGCATCGATAGCGTGTGTTCCGAGATGAAGGCGTTTCGACGTCAGTGGAGGGAATGGTGTCCCTCCCCTCGGCTTGTGTCACTCCTCCCGCTCACAATGAAACAGGATTTTCATTCGAGTTTGCCTCCGTGACCGTGTCGAGAGGAAACAAAACATCTGTCGGTCTGGTGTAATCCAATGGGCTCATCTTCCCACAACTGTGTTCCAAGAAAAAAGAGACCCCCATTACCTTATCCACAACACAACGAACGCCCTTCATGTTTTCGGTAGGAATCAAACAGCAGTCCCACACTTTTTACACCTGAAGCTTTGGCCCTTATCCGTCATAGTCGCTTTGAATGTTGTGCCTCCACACTTCTTGCACTTTAAATCGCTCTCGCTTGCTGCACTACTCCGCCTCCGTGACCGGGATTTGCGGTTCTTGTTATCCACCGCCGACGCCCTGCGCTCATCATCGCCCATACTCCCGCCAGGACTGGGTTCGCGTTCCGAACCAGTAAGTTCACTGGACAATTGGCTCATGTAGCTGGGGGCGCGGGAGAGGGGGTTGCCATCTGCGCCCAACAAGCCGGGTGTGCGGGGCATATGCTTCGCCATAGGCAATAATGTGGTCCTCATGTCCCAAGCGAGGTACGACTGCTGGTCCATCAGGAAAAGCGGATCGTTTGGGCTGTGCGGGAGGTCGCTCGGAGTAGGATTCGAAGGCAAAGGCTTCAGAGATACCTGCGGTGAGAGTACCTCCTGGTCTGGAGATTTCTGCGTCGCTGAATGAAAACTACCCGGTGACTCGGTGAGAGGCGACTGAATCGTGATCGAGGGCCCATTGTGGATCCGTTGTAGCGGGGAGTGATATTCGGGAGATGTAGGGGAGGGAACAGTATCTTTCCGTGGAGGTGCCGATCTGTGAAGTGAAAGACGGTGTCCAAGGATCTTCCTAGGTGAAGCACTACGAGACCGCTCGTTGTTGGCCAGTCCGCCGCGGATATCCAACATACTTGTCGAGGCATTGTGGTTTGCGGTATCGTTTACGCTCACAGAATTCCTCCAGCTCAAGATGCGATCCGTCGACTGGGTCTTAGGGTTCATGACGAACGAGTTCCGATGAGTGGATGAGTTCACAGAGGTGCGCGTTGCCACAGATCCAGTCCGAGCTAGCATTTTCCTGGAGAAAGTCGAGCTAGAGTCCCATGACTCGTGTCTGCGTTTCTGGAAAGCACAGTCTTGCCGGAAGACCTTGATTTGTCCAGTGTAGTCTGCCGTGACAATTATCTGACCGCCAGGATGCGAATGACGAGACAAATATGCGGGTGTCTCCGGGGCGCGACGGGGAGATTCCGACAGCCTGGTTTCATCCTTGGTATGTTTGTCGTCTGAGTGGTTGCTGTTGTTTGTGGGTGCGCGAGACGAAATGACCGAGTCTGCACGACTGACCAATGTCACCGGTGGCGGATTGCAGAGGTCATACAAAGGGTCTCCCGACTGTGCCAGTAAACGTCTCGTCTTTTCAGGTGCCATAATTGCCGTAGTGACAATGGCTGAGTGCGCCTCAAACACTTCCATCGGCCGCTTATCATTGTCAGGTCGTTCGTTGACAGATGTTGGCCATATATACACCTTGCGGTCCTCGCTCCCGCAGATTACATATTTCCCGTCATCGCTGAACGAAGCATGGATTTGGCTGCAGGAATTCTCATTACCGCGGAATTTCACCTCAAGGGTCCTATCCTTTAAGTTGTACATTCGCACCCTGGAGTCGTTGCTGGTGATCAGGAGTTTCACGTCCGGCTGCCCGCCCTCTCGAGGTAAGGATATCGTGTCAATCCCCGTGATTTTGCTCCCTTTGGCATTTTTGCCTCGCGCCGATCGGACGTGAATTTGCGAATGCGCCTTGAGACCTTCAGTGTCATAAAGGATACACAAACCATTGAGGCAACCGGCGATGGCGGTCTTCCCATCGGGCGTGAATGCGACAGCCGTGACCATGTCAGAAACCTGCGTCCAGTATGCGACGTTCTTGTCCGGTATGCTCCACAAACGTATCTTCGAGTCCAGGGAGCCGGCCAAGAAGAATCGGTCATCTCGTGGATGAAATTGGATCGAGGTGACAAAGTCATTGTGTTTGAACGCACATAAACATTCCGCCCGACTCACATGATAGAGCCTGACGGTTTTATCCATGGACGAAGACAATAGGAAGTTGTTCTTGCTCCAGCTGAGGTCCAGGATGCTTGAGGTGTGGCCGTCATATTCGCGAATGAGTTTCCTCTTGAAGACGGGAGCGTTGAGTTTGACCTTCTCCCCGTCATTGTTGGTCTCGGCCAGCTTCTCTTCCATCTCTCGATCTTCCGCAGATGATATGACCTCCCACACTCTCAGCTTTTTGTCCTGCCCGGCGGCTGCGAGATATCTTCCATCTTTTGAGAATTCCATGGCCCATATCGCATTGTTTGCAGAGTTCCTGGGGAGCGTTGGGGGGGTGTCATCGGGAGAATCATTGATGCTGTGGATCTTGGAGTCTATCTCGGCCTTGCGAGTTTTGGACGGCGGCGCCCCCAACAGTATTTGGGCCAGGAACAGCCTGTCGAAATCCTTCTGTTTCCTATATTGGGCCTTGATCTTGATATATCGTGGCGGCGCAGGGAACTTGGGGATGAAGCCGACGGGCTGGGAAAAGACTTCGGCCTCGACTCCGGCAGGTCGAAACTCGGAACCGACCTCTGAAGCATTGTCGTCGTGAAGGTCGAAGGAGTCCCTCTTCTTGTTGCCCATTATTCGACTGAGGAAGGAAACACCTTTCCTGCAGATGCATTGGCCATTAGTACACCGCAGTGGTCAAACTTTCAGCACCGAGGCCGGGAACCAGCAGATCGCCGAAAGCACATGGAAACAAAGTGCTTATCCATGGACGGCAGAGACAGGAACAGAGAGGGGGGCTAGGGAAAAAACAGTGGTGCCGGTTCACTTCAGGCTTCTACCAAGGGAAACTCACTTCTTCTCCTTGCCCGAATTACTACTATCAACCCGTCGCAACGAGACCGGCTCGGCTTTCAGGCTGCCCGAGTCGGAGTAACCGGAGTCTGCATAAGGCGACTTGGAAGGCACACCGCCTTGGGAAGAAGCAGGCAATTTGCTCTGCGACTGGGTCCTTTCGAGGATTTGCTAGAGGGTCATGAATGAGCCAAGCGTTGCAAGCCAAGTGGATATTGTATGTATACGATACCCTTGAGATGGGATCTAGGACGGGTTCGGAGGCAGGCTGGGGCTCTGACGAGCCCACGGTCAGGATAGGAGACATGTTGCCTGATGAGCTGGCCGTGCCTGGGGTCAGGCCGTAATTGTAATCGCGATCAAGGCTGCTGGCAGCATCCGGTTCTGGAGGTGGGCGAACACAGTCAGCACAAGAGATTGGGCAGTCTTGGGGAGCGCAGAGCGTCGATGAGACGAGGTTGGCGCCCCAGACATTAAATTCGGGAACCACAAATTGCTGATTGGAACATCACATAATGACATACTGCTGTGGGAAGGAGGAGGAGAGAGAAGACGTTGCTGGATTTGCGCATTGGAGCTGGCGACTGCAGTGACTGCAGTGACTGGCACATTGCTGCTGGGGAGAGAGAGGCAAGTGTTTGGAGGGGATGATGACAAAGAGCAGTTAGACTCGATGGCAGCGGCGGCGGGCTCTTCCTCTTCCTCTGCCTTGGGGTCACTCGCACTCGCTGTCGTCAAGTCACCAAAGTAGTAGTTTCCTATCGCTACAACTCGCGCAGCCACCATCTGGGCCATTGTCATTGTTGAACCTCATGAAACACCAAAATCCCACAGAAGAAGAAAACCGATCGTCAACGTCAGGAACCAAGCTCCAAGGCGCAACCCGTCGGTGAGCTTGCATGGGGGCGGATTGCCACTCTTCTTCTATGTACTACTGTTTCTATCATCTACTTCCGTATTCCGTATCTGACTTATGCATCCAGATCCAAAGCCTGGGCGAACACACCAAGACCCGGTGAAGGCTCGTTACAAAGCTGAAGCTCAGCTAGCCTCGTTGGGTACCGGTCCAACCATTCAAATGCTTGAATCATCCCTCCATGCAGCTGAGCTCATCATGTGCCCATGTCTTCAATTGGCTGTCAACGACTCCACGATTTTGACATAACACACTCACGGCTTTTACTCTTTTGGTCATGGTACTGGGCCACAGGTGAAAACAAATGTACATAGGGAAGAACGAAGGGGAAAAAAAATGCATCTTCCTCCAGGCCGAAGGGCGGGCGGAAGCAAAAGTGATCCTGTTTACCCGACAAACTGGATGCATAAATTATGCCCATGGCACCACCAACTGCAGAATATCACGAGAGAAATTTCCAGAGCCCGAGAGCCCAGGCGCCCAGAAGCCCCGCTTCCACAACACACCAATGCGAATACGAAGCCGCTCGTATAGATGTGCGTTTGACTTCTCAGCTCCCCGAGCAACATCACACACGTGCTTGTGAGCGTCCCAGACCGCCTGCCCGTGCCCAACATCATTCGTGTCCAGTCAAATCATTAAAACCCACACAATCATTGCTCCTGGCTCGCGATTCTGCCCAAATACCCCAAAAGAAATGCCTTGTTCTCTGCGCCTGTCTGTCGCTTTTCGCCTGTCGCACGCCCCGTTCCCGGCCCACTCAAGATCGATGTCATGCTCCCCACACGGGATGTCCGAGTGGAAATGGGCTCAATCCCGGACAGCGGTGCCTCGCCATTGGCGTTGAGGATTTGACTGTTCGTTAACGGAGAGACTATGCCCGAACTAGGTTGTAATGTTGTCGCCCGAGGTGTAGTGTCCAGCCCTGCACCAAAGAGAGAAAGCAATGTTTGTTTCTGCGCCTCTGTTTGAGAAGCCTTCCGGCTCGGTGTCGATTTTTCACCTGCATCTGCCGTGGTAGGAGGCGAGGGAGCCGCGGCCGTCGAAATCGGCTGCTGAGGTGTAGTCTCGCTTGTGGCGGTGAGCCTACCAGCCATGCTTGATTCACTGCTCTGTGGCCGGCGAAGAATCTGAGGCTGGAATGGCTTCCCTTGCTCCTTTGGAGTCGTCTTTTCCCTCACTGTCCGCCTCGAGGTTGACTTGAGGCTTCTTGGTGATCGGGGAGGCTGTGGACGAGACTCCTCTGATCGGCTCAGAATCTTGACTGGTGCCGGTTGGTTTGGATCGTACAGCGTCCTATTGGCAGTAAGCGGACTTCGGCCCATCTCGTTCGTCGCATGCCTAGTCGCCCTAGAGATTACTTCGAATTCGGGTTGATTCAACGGGCCACTGACGGTAGCAGACGTCTCACCCTCTCTTGGAGATGGCCGCTTGATCTCAGCTGCTCTTCGCGATGCTTCTCGAGTACCTTTCCTCAACAACGAGAGAAGGTCATCCTCGTCGATTTTCGGCTTTGGAGACGAGATGGCAGCAGCGGTCGCTGCGAGCTCTACCGGTGGTGGAGGTCGAGCTGTTGAGCTGTCCATGGGTTTTGGCGGAGATGGTTGAGTAAAAAGCTGAAGAAGAGAGGTCTGCTGTGCACTTTGGGGTCGTCTAGGCGATCGCAAGGAAGAGACCTGGCTTTCAAAGTTCGCATTTGTGGTCGATTGTAAGCCAACGTTGGAAGACAGAGCAGCTAAACCTTTGCCGATTCCTTGGACAACGTCATCAGCTTTGAACGGAAGGGCGTCAGCTGGTAGGGTCAGTCTTTGTACTTGGGGTGGGTGCAATGCTTCATTCTGGCGCAAGGTATTTGGGGGAGACATCTCAAGATGGGGCAACGGCTGAGTTGTTGTGCTCGTCGCTCCCCTGAAAACATCCAATAGCGCCTTTGTGTGGTTGGTCAGCTTGGGCAATGCACTAGCCGGAGGCACGGCCGGCCGTTGTTGTATCGCTCCTTCGGATGCAAACAACGGTTCGGTGGTCCTTTGGAATGGTGTAACGCGTGGGGCGTCATGGGCGGGATAAGTTGCGGCATTTGAGATGATGGTTGAATCTTTTGATCTTCGGTTGGATGCCTGTGTAGGAGGGAGTACTTGATCTTGGAGTTGCGGTTGAAATGGAGGCGGTGGCTTCGCGTGATCAATTTGAGGCGGCCGTACATGGGAGATGTGCGGCGACCTTTGAACCTCAGGCGGCAACGAGATCTGTTCCAGTGGAGTCCGGGGTACGGTGGCAGACTGATCCTGTAATTCTCCCCGTGGCGCCCGTAGAAGAGCAAGAAGAGCGTTCGACTTCTCGGTGTCAACCTGCGGCATATGACTTGGTGGCAACGCCGCTTGAGGCGGGACAGCTTGCATTCCAATATTCAGCAGCTCCTTAAGATGTGAACTTGGGTCAATCGCACTAAAAGTGGAGACTTCAGGTAGGTCGCTGACAGTCGGCGGCAACGTCTCTCCAAGCCGCGCCCCGACGCCGTCTTGTTCATCCTCAGTAGTCACGTCCTCTGGCACCATGGGAGGCGCTGCAAGATGCGAGCTATACCGGTTTTCCTTCTTTCGTTGCTGAGCGATCCATTTTTTGAGTGGATTCAAAAACGGCGCCACCATATAGAACTTGTTCGAGTTAATGGATGCATGGTCCGTGCCGCTGGCTTCGTGTTGTCGATGATTATTCTTCTTCAAGGTGGGCAAATCTGTTAACTTGTACCACTCAATTTTGCTGATCTCCTTTCGTGTCCTGGGTTCAAAATGCGCGTTTCTGGGGACTCCACGGAAAACATATAGTCTCATGTGCTGTTCTCTCATGGTAACTTCGATATACTTCATGTCTTTCACATCTTTGACGAGTCCGGCCTCGCGAACATCGAAACCCGTCTCTTCGTAGACTTCTCGCACTGCACAATCAAGATCATCCTCATCCTTGTTGATCTTCCCTCGAGGGAAGCTCCAATTTGCGCCCTTTTTCCAGCCTTTAACGAGGACGACCTCATCCATCGCCTCATTCAACAGGATGGCCCCTCGGACGGGAACACGGGATTTATATGCCAGGAACTCGGCGAAAGCGGTGGTGTGATGCTGCGCAGACCATTGCGAGAACAGTGGACAGTGTTGGAAGATGCGTAAACTGAAAGCACGTAGGGAAAGAGAGGGTAGAGAAGGGTCAAGGGGCCGGATGAAGTCTTCGTAGAACCATTGTGCCTCCTCGACTTGGAAGCAAATGCGCTCCACGGATTCGAGCTCCTCGGGGGGAAGGTTTATGATGAATCGGACACAAAGGTCATCCAACCCTGACAAGGCACAGTGTTAGCATCTGGACAAATATCGCGCCAGGTTCGGGCGTCTCACAGTCCTCCAGCTGCATCTCTCGAGTTTCTTGTTGGAGTAGAAGATCTGGTCATCTCCACTGCTCTGGAGACCGTAGGATGTAGAGGTCACGAGTCGGGAACAGAGGGGCTGCAAAGCCTATCACTACAGTCTCTCATCTGGATGTTGCGATCGTGCTGCGAAGGGGCGGATAGCCAGTTAGGTCTGAGGGGTATGTTTTCGTTAAGGTGACTGAGGACACCAGGCGAGAAAAGAGTGTCCAGGTCTTCGAAGACCGTGGCTGTGCATATTGCTGTGGCTAATGAAGGCGCACAGCCACTAAATGACGAATTGAATGACGTTGGCGCCCATGTAGGCGCAGGGAGAGAGTGTCCAGGGAATGTCCAGGAAATTCAGCGCGTATCAACCCGTTTGAGTGAGTCTGAATGCCAATCAATTCCAGCAAGCCACACAGGCTTCTGACAGCACAGGGTGGCACTTAATGGACATTATCCTTGCGACTCATCTTGGCTTTGTTTGGCAGGACTAGGGACTAAATTTGTAGTGACATAAAGCCTGAAAATCCAGGTCTTCGTTAGCTTTTCCGCCTCTCCCATCCCTCCAACTACATCTGCCCTACAATTTCCTACATTTCCCTAATCATACAGTCCTCATTTCACTCACATCTCATCTCAAGCATCTCACATATGGCGTCTTACGCAGCAAAGCTGGTGGCCAGGAGGCTCTTTAAGGAAAATTCGTCCAACAAAGAGGGCCGCGAGGTATGGATCCAGAACCCGGGAACCTTCGCCAACTCTAACTTTATGCAGGATCCCTACTTCGAGACGATACCCGCTACCAGGCTCGGAGGACTCTACAAAACCACAAAGAAGAGAAAAAGGGCGCTCCCGCCCGGGTTGACCCAAGAGGAGGAGAGAATCCTCACCAAAGCAAAAAGAAGAGCCTACCGCGTCGACCTCTGTCTTGGAAGCTTTTTGGGCACAAGATTCGGCTGGGGAGCGGTCATCGGCTTGATCCCGGGGTAAGCCTAGGCCTCTGTTCCCAACAAATGTAGCGCTCGAAAACTGACCTTCCATAGCATCGGCGATGTCCTTGACCTCTTCCTCGCTCTCATGGTCTACCGCACCTGCTGCTCCGTCGACCCGGAATTGCCCTCGGGCATTAAAATGCGAATGCAAATGAACGTTGTCATTGACTTCGCAGTTGGGCTGATTCCATTTATCGGTGACTTTGTGGATGCGGCATACAAATGCAACACCCGAAATGTGGTACTTCTCGAAAAGGAGTTGCGTGCGCGTGGCCAAAAGAGGATTAAGGGTACTCCGCAGGCAAATGTCGCAGATCCGAGCCTTCCAGATGAGTTCGACTACCAGAACGAGGAAGTTCGATTGAACGCCCAGAACGGTCCTCCCCCCAGATATACCTCGCGAAGAGAGTCCAGGAGGTCCAACCGAGAGAGGCAACACGATGTCGAAGCGGCAGAGGACATACCTCCTCCGATGCCTACTCGCACC